TGGATGGATGGATGGATGGATGGATGGATGGATGGATGGATGGATTATTTTTGTATTGAGTATTTTATAACTCACCTCCACCATTCTTGTGGCACAAATGAGGGAACCTCCATACATTCCCCAGACCAATAGTATACCCAATCAAAGTCAATATAAACTCAGTACGATTTTTCCACCTCTCTCTCCTGGGTCTATAATGGATTTGATCAACACAAAACCCATTCTGGGTTATTGTTCCAGATAGTTCTGTCACCTCAAGGCGAGAGTCGTTCGACCCGTGGAAATTCAAATTGGAAGAGGTGCCTTGGTTTGAATGTGTTCCACTGCTCGGTCTGCGCGGGACGTCTACTGATAAGTGGTTGTTTGATATTGCCATGCCACTGTAGCTACTCGTAGATAGATCGCATGGTGGGTAGTAGGTTAATGCGTTGAGTGATCTGGGAAAATATCGATAGGAATAATGAAAAGAACGCTTTAATAGTGAAGAAATAAAAAACGCGCGCGCGTGCTGTGTGCAGTTATTAGAGTGATTTAGCATCAAGACGCGAACGTCAAGAGACGACGGCGCGAGCGCATTTTTTTGTGCGCGCGTCGTCCTCAACCCAATTGGCTTCCTGGACAGGACGTAAAAATGCTGCAAATGGCATCATGTTGGCGTCCTGTTGAGGACGGCGACGTCTTTTAACGTTCACGTGTGAAAAAATAGAAAACGCGCGCGGGTGCTGTGTGCTGTCATAAAGCACGCGGGGGTTGGCAGAACACGAGAGAAGTGTAAGGAGGAGCACGACGCCTAGCGGAGTGCTTCTGGACACTTCTCAAGTGTTCTGCCAATCCCCAAGTGCTTTATGACTGCACACAGCACAGCAAGTACGTTTTTTATTTYTTTTATAAAATACAAATTACAATAATAGATAGGAATGACGCAACGAAAAGTGCGCGCGCGTGCAATGTGCTCTCATAAAGCACGCGCTCCAAATCAATCAGAACGCGACATTCATAACAGTTATTTTATAATTGATGCTAAATCACTCCACAAAAACCCGAAGAACACGGAGAAAAATCCTTAAATCTAGAGGTGGACCTAGCAAACTCTACTCACATGTGATGGCGCGTACATGAATTGAACCCGAGAACACAGAGGCGAAAGGAATACTGCTACGAAAGGGTTTTTCTCCAAATATGTATCAATCTACGTCATGTAAATAAGCCTTGATATAAAGACGTATAATAATAATAATATTTCCATCGCAAAGATTCAAACAATTCTTTTATCAACTTAATCTTGACCACAAGACCAGTTTCACGAGAARTGTCGTTTTAATGCCAGTTGAGGTACAAATACCCGATTCGATGAAAAAGCTTTAAAACTATTTCCCATAGAGATAAACTTTAATCTGAAATAAATATCCTTGGATATAGTACAATGATTTATTTATATAATTAAATATAAAAGTATAAATAGGAATAGCTTTAATAAGCCTGAAGCGAGATGACGKTTTACCCCCGACTCTATACCATAATAGTTTTTAAAATTCTTTCATATTAAAATTTTTGATTCCTTAGAGAATACAGGAACAATAGTCATAATTAAAGA